TTGTTATTATTATTGTTGTTGTTGTTGTTGTTGTTGTTGTTGTTGTTATTATTATTATTATTATTATTATTATTATTATTATTATTATTATTATTATTATTATTATTATTATTATTATTATTATTATTATTATTATTATTATTATTATTATTATTATTATTATTATTATTATTATTATTATTATAATTATTATAATTATTATTTGTTATTTTTTTTAATTTTGTTTGATTTGTTGACAAGTCAACGTAATTATATTACCGTCGTTGACAGTAAAATAACTGTAAACACAATAATATTACTGTCAACCACATCAATATTATTATTTTTTTTGGTTTTTTTAGTTTGAGTTATTCACGGAGTAACGGAATAGTATTACTGTCTGTTATTGTAATATTACTGTCAACACAATAATATTACTGTGGTTGACGGTAATATTGATGTCAACCACATCGATATTATTATTTTGTTTGAGTTTTTTTGTTTGTTTGAGTTATTCACGGAGTAACGTCGTGATATCACTGTTGTTATAGTAATTTTACTGTCACTCACAGTAATATTAATTCATTCAGGTTTTTATTATGTTTACATTTCTTGAACGGTCAACATAGTAATATTACTCTATTACACAATAATAATGAGTTTTGTTGTGTTAATATTACTGTGCTAGAGATTAATATAACAATATTACTGTGTTAAACTGTAGTATAGTTAATTTTACTGTGTTTAACAGTAATATAATTAATATTACTATCAATCACAACAATATTGCTGTTTAAACGAAAAAAGTTACAGAAAAAAAAAGAGTTCGAAAAAGTCAACGCCGGATACCGGCGAAAAAATCAGGAAAAAAAAAATCAACGGCGGTGACGAACGAAATTGACAATAAAAATGTGTTTTTGGTCAAAGTTGAATAATTTGTGAAATTTGGAGTCAAAATGAGGTTAAATTAAATTAAAGGATGAAATTAGAGCATATTAAAGTATAAGGGTCTATTTTAGTATTTTACAAAAAATTGGACCATGTGTGGACTTATTTGCAAAGGAGTTTATTGTCTGGAACTATTTATGGATAAATACTCATTGATGGGCTTATTTGTAAAGACCCCAATAAATTATAGCTTAAAGTTACTTATATTAAGATAAGGAAAAACAAAAGTCCCTCTTGCACACTTAAAAATAGATTATAAGAAGAAAAAAAAAAACTCATAATCTGTTTGTAAGAGCTTTTGCAAACACTATCTGAATTGAGACAAAGATAATGCTAATTAAAAAAAAGGAAAACAATTTGATCAGTCAATAATAATAATAATAAAAAGTATCGGTTAACAGCTGGTCAACAATTGACCGTCAATAATAAAGGAATAAGGGTAGTTTTATTAGAAAAAAATACTTAAATTGCATGAACAACCAAGAGCAAAATAGTTAGCTCCAACAGGAAAATGTATGAAAGGATTATTGATTATGTTTAGCAAAAGAGAACCATATGGACCATTTTATTTCAACTTTCTCAGTTGGTTCTGTGTCATGTCCCGCCAATAGAACATTTCCCTCGCCCTTAGCCATGTTGATCTTAAAAAAATAGGGTAAATTACAAACACCCCCCTAAGGTATGGTCAAATTACAAAAACACCCCTTTTGTTTGAATAATTACAACCACCCCCCTCAACTCATCAAATTTAGTGGAATCTTCGAGATTATATAGAATATTATCACTTTTGTACCCGTTTTATCCCATTCAAACTCTACATTATGAAGCAAGATGATCATAATATGTGATTTTTAGCTTGTATATATCAGTTTGTGGTGCATCGGAAACTGTATTTTTTACACAAAAAGAGGACAAACTAGATCACATTTCACGGAATCTAGATGACTATGTTGAATTTGGCACCATAGAGGTGGATGTGTAAGAAAAAATCATAGTTGAGGGGGTAGATGTAATTATCCAAACAAGAGGGGGGTTTTTGTAATTTGACCATACCTCATGGGGTGTTTGTAATTTACCCTAAAAAAATATTGGTCTTCCAGAATCTTGATAATGCCGGTAAAATTCAATGAAAAACAAATGAAATCAGTTGGCATAAAGAGATCAATGCATAAGAAACGAAAAAAATAAATTGGAATGACTCTACTCTAGATACCAAATATTACTTGTAATTTTAACTTGTAAAATTTAACTGAAATTTATGAATTTCTCACTTCACTTCTTCTCAAGATGTTACCTCTGAAGAACAATGTTGAAGAAATCGATTACCAAATATTAGTGTGCAAACAATTCATTATTAATAGATAGGTATTCTTTTTGGTTACGGTGAGTTTAATGGAAATTCATTTTGACCCATTATTTTGATCCACTAGCTATGTATGATCTTTGAAGCCAATTTTTTTAGTGGAGTTCAATGTAATTTAATCCAATTGAATTTCAATTGGATCATAGCTAGGGGATTGCTTGAGTGGCATCCGGGAGATAATGTTTGAAGGTTAGTTATTAAGTCAAAATAAAATAAAAAAAAAAAAAAAAAAAAATATATATATATATATATATATATATATATATATATATATATATATATATATATATATATATATATATATATATATATATATATATATATATATATATATATATATATATATATATATATATATATATATATATATATATATATATATATTATCAACAACTTCTTACAATAATCGACTTATGTGTTTAATCGATGTTCCACCAGAATTGCGCTTGTAGATACTCAATCACATCCTTCTCAACCTGGAACGCCTTTGTCAGGACAGCTGGGTCAATTGGAGGATCCGAACCAAACACTGCATTAGCAATAGTAATGACACCTGGATTTTGGCTGCTCAGACCAGCAAATGCTACAGC